AGGCAGGAGAATTGCCTGAACCCAGGAGGCGGAGGTTGCGGTGAGCCGAGATCGTGCCATTGCACTCCAGCCTGGGTAACAAGAGTGAAACTCCGTCTCAAAAAAAAAAAAAAAGAAGAAGAAATACTCACTTAAGTGGAAAATGATGGCAGTGGGAGACATAGGTGTAAATAGAAATGTGTAGGAGACAAGATGGGGGACGTGAGAGATTTTGGAGATATTCCTCTCCCTATTGCCACTCCTTCTCCATGCTGTCTCTGCAGGTTGGTGGTAGATGGGGGTACCCCTGTATCAGGCTTTGGATTTCGATGTCCTCAAGAAATGTTCCAGAGGATGGAGGACACATTTCGATTCTGTGCTCACTGTAGAGCACTCCCTAATGGCCTTTCAGACTCCAAGGTTCTCCGGCACTGTAAGAGGTGACTAGTTGGGGGCTAATAGGGAGACATTCAGAAATGACCCTGTAATAGCCGGGCACGGTGACTTATGCCTGTAATCCCAGCACTTTGGGAGGCTGAGGCAGGTGGATCATATGAGGCCAGGAGTCAAGACCAGCCTGGCCAACATGGCAAAACCCTGTCTCTACTAAAAATACAGAAATTAGCCACACGAGGTGGCACACATCTTTAGTCTCAGCTACTCGAGAGGCTGAGGTAGGAGAATCACCTGAACCCAGGAGGCAGAGGTTGCCGTGAGCCGAGATTCCACCTTGCACTCCAGGCTGGATGACAGACTGAGACTCTGTCTCAAAAAAAAAAAAAAAAGAAAAAGAAATGATCCTGTATTATGACCTCATTCCAAAAGGAAAGATCTGAGAGTTTTCAAAATAACCTAAGGCTTACTCCTAATTTTTTGTCATCCAGGCTACAAAGATAAGAACAGTATGCTAATCCTGCTTATTTTTGGTGTTATTGGGAGGTGAGACAAAAACCACAATACATTCCTCTCTATCTCTCTCTTGAGTACTCAAGGAGTAAGACTACATTTGTTTGGGGATGTGGGAGTTGAACCATACCTGTTACGAGAGGACAGCTGTAAACTCGTGTTTTTTCTAAAAGTGATATAAAAAGTGACTTGTTCCAGATAGAGAGTAAGGTATCACTCTGTCTGGCAGAATAATTATATTCCCAGTCCCTCCTGCCTCATCTGCCAAATGTAGTCCCCAAAATTGGTGCATCAGCTGCCATTCCTCTCCCTACCTTCCTTAGCCATTTCCATCCTAGGTGCAGGAATATCAGTTCCCCTCCCCTGATAACCCCAATCACATTTGTAATATAAAAACTATTTCTGACTCGTTCTCTCAGGTGCAGAAATGTCTATTACTGTGGTCCAGAGTGCCAGAGGTCAGACTGGCCCGCACACAGGAGGGTTTGTCAAGAGCTTCATCTTGTGGCTGTGGACCGTCTCATGGAATGGCTTCTGGTCACAGGTGGAATGGTGGTGTTGGGGAACTCTGCCATAATGGTCATATTTGGTTACATTTAAAGGAAGACATGAAATCATATTGTTAGGAAAAAATGAGGAAGTGGGGCAAAGGATGGGGCACCCCTGCTCACAGGTTGGCAGATTAAACATGGAGGGAATATTGATCATTTGTGAGGGGGAAATTTTGAAGCCAGGAAAATATTAGTTTCCTTTTTTTTCCTTCTTTCCTACAGGTGATTTTGTCCTACCCTCAGGACCTTGGCATTGGCCACCTGAAGCTGTACAGGATTGGGACTCCTGGTTTTCTATGAAGGGATTACATTTAGATGCTACACTGGATGCTGTGCTAGTTAGTCCTGCCATGACCACCTTATGGGCCAGTGTAGGACGGCCAAGGCCAGACCCAGATGTCCTGCAGGGATCTTTGAAGCGGCTGCTGACAGATGTCCTGTCACGGCCCTTGACTCTAGGCCTAGGACTTAGGGCCTTAGGGATAGACGTTAGGAGGATTGGGGGAAGCACAGTGCATGTGGTTGGTGCTTCCCATGTGGAGACATTTCTCACTCGCCCTGGGGACTATGATGAGCTTGGCTACATGTTTCCTGGGCACCTTGGACTCCGTGTGGTCATGGTGGGTGTAGACGTGGCTGCTGGCTTTTCACAGAGCACCTCAACTTCACCCCTGGAACCTGGCACAATTCACCTTAGTGCCCACAGGGGCCTCTACCATGACTTCTGGGAGGAGCAGGTAGAGACTGGGCAGACAGACCATCCAGATTTGGTGGTGGCTTTCCATCCAGGTAAGAATCATTGGTTCACGGGAATACTGGGTGGCTCCCCTGGGAATTTTCCATCCTGAGTCTTGTGTCTTCTGTCTTTGGAACCCCATTCATTTGATTTCATTAAATACAATATGATGACAACTTTTCTGGATCATTTGCCATATGTACTAGGGTTCAGAATTTTTCACTTGGATGATGATGATAATGATGATTGGGGATAAGCAAGGTGAGGGGTGGAGTGGTCACAGTCAAAGAAATATCTTGCTCTTAAGAGTCTGCTTCAGTCTTTCCCTATTCCCATTTTCATTTTTTTCCCACAGGTTTTCATTCCTCCCCAGACTTGATGGAGGCTTGGCTCCCTACCCTGCTGCTACTTCGTGACTATAAGATTCCTGCATTGATTACTGTTTACAGGTTTTGACCTCTTCCTATTTGTGATACTTCCCTGACTTACACTTCTCTTTATATAAATGAGCTCATTTTGCTTCCTCTTGTTTATCTACTTTCTGGTGAGGATGTTCATCTTTTCCGCATATGGCTTTTTCATCCGCTTGGAACAAAGTCCTATGCTAGTTAATTGAGTATTTAGTGAGAATTTTGGGAGGGAAGGGTAGTCCTTGCCTAGTTCAGCCTTAGACAATTTGGGGGATTGGTGATTACAGAAATGTCAGGTTCATGAGCAATTTTTCCTTTATCTCTGTCACCATCAGTAGAGTAATTTTTCTTCTCTCTCTTCTACAGCCATCAGGAGTTGGTATCCTCTTTGCAGATTCTGGTGGAACTGGATACACACATCACTGCCTATGGGGCTAATCCTTTCATGTCCCTCAAACCCGAACAGGTCTATTCCAACCCCAACAAGCAGCCAGTATACTGCAGTGCCTACTATATCATGTTTCTTGGAAGCTCCTGTCAGCTGGGTAATAGCCAATTAGAAGAGAAAGTGGATGATGGGATTTAAATAGATTATGACTGGACATCTGGAAAATGGGGAGGTTGTGATAAAATTACCCTGATAATGCCAGGTTCTTGCCAACTTTGAAAAACACTATATTCTAAACCTCATTCACTGTGTGGGTAAAGATTCTAAGCTGAATGAGGGTTCCTGTATAATGTAACTGGTTTCTTTCTTTTTTGAGACAGTCTTGCTGTGTTGCTCAGGCTGGAGTGTAATGGCATGATCTCGGCTCACTGGCTCACTGTAACCTCTGCCTCCCAGGTTCAAGTGGTTCTCCTGCCTTAGCCTCTTGAGTAGCTGGGATTACAGGTGCATGCCACCACACCTGGCTAATTTTTGTAATTTTTTTTTTTTTTCTTTTTTGATACAGAGTCTCGTTCTGTCTCCAGGCTGGAGGGCAGTGGCACGATCTCGGCTCACTGCAACATCCAACTCCCTGGTTCAAGCTATTTTCCTGCCTTGGCCTCTCGAGTAGCTGAGATTATAGGCATGTGCCACCATGCCCAACTAAATTTTGTATTTTTAATAGAGACAGGGTTTCACCATGTTGGCCAGGCCGGACTCAATCTCCTGACCTTGTGATCTGCCCATCTCAGCCTCCCAAAGTACTGAGATTACAGGCGTGAGCCTCCACGCCTGGCCTAATTTTTGTATTTTTAGTAGAGTTTTGCCATGTTGGCCAGGCTGATATCGAACCCTTGACCTCAGGTGATCTGCCTGCCTTGGCCTCCCAAAGTGCTGGGATTACAGGCATGAGCTACTGCGCCTGGCTGTAACTGGTTTGTAAGAGTTTAGCCACAGTAGCTTCTAGAGATAGGATATTAGATTTAGTGGGTGGGAAGAGGCCTGGATGTTGGTCTTTCCAGAGCTTAGAGTTCCTAACACTTTCCTTTGTGAGGAAGTTTACCTTTTGACTGGAACCAGATGGCACTGAGGAGAAGAATGAGAACCACCTTATTCTGAAAAATACTTTCTTCTTATCCAGTAATTTGGGCTAAAAACGGGAAATACGTTGATGACTTGAAGTGGTGCAAGAATGGACAAGTCAGGGAAGTCATTGGGAACATGGATGAGATTATAAGCATTGGTGCACTGCCCTGTTTCCTGGCTTTTTTGAGAGAAATATCTAATTTTCCTATTTTCGGTTGGTGACTTCTGACACTAGAGTAGCCCTGGTATTGTATTTTAGATATCCCAGGCTATATCAGACTTTACCTGAATATACTGGAGTTGTTTGTTATCCCCCTATTCTATACCCAATAAACTCAGTTTGGGGCTTCTTAAGTCACCTGTTTTATTTCATATTCACTGGCAAGTATTACTCATCTGCACACAACACCTCAAGACTGGAAGTTTCTCTCGTCAACAGAGTAATTAGCATCAGTTGTTTGTTTGGGCCTGCCACTCTGTCACACATTTGTCTCATGTCATCTTCTTTCTTTTTTTTTTCCCCCTTTTTTTTGGAGACAGAGTCTCTCTCTGTCACCATGGATGGAGTGCAGTGGCATTATCATAGTTCATTGCAGCCTTAAACTCCTGGGCTCAAGTATGCTTCCATCTCACCCTCCTAAGTAGCTGGGACTTAACAGGCACATGCCACCATGCCCAGCTAATTTTTTATTTTTTCTAGAGACAGGGTCTCCTTGTGTTGCCCAGGCTGGTTGGTCTCAAACTCCTGGGCTCCTCCCACCTCAACAACCTGGAGTGTTGGGATTACAGGCATGAGACTGTGCCCAGTCAATATCCTTTTCTTATACTCTCAGGATTAGGACATTTCCTAATCCTGAGGTATTCATTCCTACGATCTTGCCATGACCATCTCTTGCACACATACAGCCCATCAACCCAATACACACATACACTATTGCCCAATCTAATAGGGATAATTTTAGAATTTCATATATTCATTCAAGACAGTACCTGCCATGCTACAGGTATTGTATTTTGGCTTCAGAGAGATTGGAAGGTGAATGAGACATGGCGTTTATTCTTAGGGAGGGAAATAATATTTATGTATATGGGAATACCTTTATTGCAAGGTATAATGTGGAATAAGAAACAAGAGAAAGTCTTATAGTGCTAAGGAAATAGAGTGAAAAGAGATCATTTTGCTAAATGATATCGAAGATACTCTGAGTGAGAATTTTATGAAACAGCACAGGGCACTCAAGATGGAAGGAACAATAGGACCAGAAGTTTGAAGGCAGAAAAGCGTATTTGAAGGCACATTAGGGGATTAATATAAATTAAGTCTGAAAGGTAGAGTGAGATCAAATTATAGGAGTATTGTGAATTTATGTCGATCTGAGTGTGAATCCTGGGGCAGCCATCAAATAATTTGATATCACAGGGGAAGCTAAACTTCTCTAAGCCTTAGTTTCTTCATCTGTAAAATGGAGATAATGCCAAGTACTCCAAATTAAAGTTGAAGTTAAACAAAAACGTTTGCAAAGTTGGAGGACTCACACATCCCAATTTCTTTTTTCGCCGTTGCCCAGACTGGAGTGCAGTGACCCTATCTTGATTCACTGTGACGTTCACCCCCGACTCAGGCTCAAGTGAACCTCCCACCTCCGCCTCCCAAGTAGCTGGGACCACAAATTCAAGCCAATATGTCCAGCTAATTTTTGTATTTTTTGTAGAGGCAGGGTTTTGCCATGTTGCCCAGGCTGGTCTTGAACTCCTGAGCCTAAGAGATCCACCCTTCTTAGTCTCCCAAAGTGCTCGGATTACAGAGATGAGCCACTGTGCCTGGCCCCAATTTCAAAACCTGTAATCATTATATACTTACCAGTTCAGTATCCCTAATCTGAAAACCTGAAATGCTCCCACGAGCATTTCCTTTTAGTGCTATGTCAGCACTGCAAAAGTTTCAGATTTTGGATCTCAGTACTCAGGAAGCTTTGGATTTTGGAGCTTTTTGAATTTAGGATTTTTTGATTAGGGATGCTCAAGCTGTACAAAATAGTGGTAAAGACAATGTGATACTGGCATAGAATAGACATATGTTAGTGCAATAGAAGTGAGAATTGTCCTAGTCTGCTTGGGCTGCTGTAACAAAATACTGCAAACCATGTGGCTTGTAAACATCAGAAATTTACTTTCCACATTTCTGGAAGCTGGAAAGTCCAAGATAAAGGCACTGGCAGATTTGGTGTCTGGGAAGGGCGTGTTCTTACTGTGGAAAGGGTGCAAGGGGTGGAAGGGGTGACTGAGCTCCCTCTTTCCTCTCTTCCCAGGACACTAATCCCATTCTTGAGGGCTCTGCCCTCATGACCTATTCATTTCCCAAAGGTCCCACCTCCTAAAGCCAGAAGTTAGGACTTCAACATGTAAATTTGTTGGCGGGGGGACATGGAGGGAGAGGGGCCAGGGAGGAGCACAAAACATTCAGACCATAACAAGTATAGCGGAGCATGATGGTTCACACCTGTAAACCCAGCACTTTGGGAGGCCAAGGCAGGCAAATCATTTGAGCTCAGGAGTTTGAGACCATCTCAAAACCCCTTTTCTTTTTTTTTTTTGAGCCGGAGTTTCGCTCTTGTTGCCTGGAGTGCAATGGCGCGATCTCGGCTCACCGCAACCTCCGCCTCCTGGGTTCAGGCAATTCTCCTGCCTCAGCCTCCTGAGTAGCTGGGATTACAGGCATGCGCCACCATGCCCAACTGATTTTTTGTATTTTTATTAGAGACAGGGTTTCACCATGTTGACCAGGATGGTCTCGATCTCTTGACCTCGTGACCCACCCACCTCGGCCTCCCAAAGTGCTGGGATTACAGGCGTGAGCCACCGCGCCCGGCCTCAAAACCCCTTTTCTAAAAGACATACAAAAAAATTAGCTGGGCATGGTGACACGCACCTGTAGTCCTGGCTACTTGAGGGGCTGAGGTGGGAGGATCGCTTGAGCCCAGAAGATCAAGGCTGCAGTAAGCCAAGATTGCGCCACTACACTCCAGCCTGGGTGAAAAAGTGAGACCTTGTCTTTAAAAAAGAAAAAAACCTATGGTCAGTTGATTTTTTGACAAGGGTACATAAACAGTTAATTGGGAAAAGAATAGACTTTTCAACAAATAGTGCTGGGACAACTGGATATCTACGTGCAGAATAATAAAGTAATACCCCCACCTCATATAATATACAAAGATTAACTCAGAATGGTTCAAATGCCTAAAACTAAAACTCTTGAAAGAAAATACAGGGTAAATCTTCATGAACTTGTATTGAACACTGTTTTCTTAGATATGATACCAAAACCACAAGCAACCAAAATAAAAATAAATAGACTATCAAAATTTAAAATGTTGGGCCAGGTACTATGGCTCACACCTGTAATCCCAACATTTTAGGAGGCCAAGACAGGAAGACTGCTTAAGTCCAGGAGTTCAAGATGGCCCTGGGCAACAGAGACCTATCTCTACAAAAAAAGTAGAAAAAATTAGCTGGGTGTGGTGGCACATGCCTGTAATCACACTACTTGGAAGGCTGAGGTAGAAAGATCATTTGAGCCTAGGAGATTGAGGCTGCAGTGAGCTGTGATCTCACTCCAGCCTGGGTGACAGAGCGAGATTCTTTTAAAAAAAAAAAAAAAAAAAAAA